AAAAATTAATTTGGTGTATTTTTGGAAGCTGACTGTTTTGGAAATCCGTCCTTTTGCTTAATGGATGGTTTTGTAAATCAGTGACTTTGTAGAGAGATGTTATATCAAACTCAATTAATTCTGACCAGAAAGTAACAACTGCATATTAAAACTGAGGTCTAATTGATAAAACACACCTACTTTAAAAATCTTATACCTAAAATAGATTTTTACTACCTCAGTTTTAAGATGAAAATTCTATTAAATTATTCATAGACAAATGAGAACTGCCTCACCATTTATATACTATGATATTCTAAAATAATTTTGATTTATGTATGTCTCTTTTGTAGTTAGGGAATTATTTATTTTTAAGTTCAAAAAATATGTCCTAGTGTTTGGATCCATATTTTGAGAAATATTATTTTTAAAACCCAAGAAATAAAATATAGAATACATCCTGATGATAGGTTACTAAAAGCAGCCACATTGAGATAAAATGATGGACACTGAATTAATAGTCTTTATGATAAGTTAACACTATAGGATGTAAACGGACACGCTCCTTTTCATTACTTCGTTTGTTATCATGAGATGCAATAATGTGGCTAAATTATAAGCTATTCGTGAAGTGGGAGAACGACAAAAGCAGAGCATTTCTTTGGTAGACAAATTTGCATGCATAAATTGAACTCTCATTTCAGCTTATGAGAAAAATGACTCGAATAAAAAAGAACAACTTTATTAAATGATTACATATTATGATCAAACTTTCTTATGTGATTAACATTTTTAGTGTAAGAAAGATATCTCTACTGCTTAAAACCAGTTGGTCCGGCAGCTGCCAGTAAGCACCAAATAGCCCATGCAATCTCTCTAGTATATCAAGTTTCCGTGTAAGCATGGGTCTGTTTCTAGGCTCTTCATTCTATGCTACTGATCTGTTTTTCTGTCCTTATACCGATAGTTAATGATTACATTCATTACTATAGCTTTGTGAATCTTGAATTCAGATAAGCAATTTCCACTCCACTTCTCCAGAAGTGTCTTACGTATTCCTGAAAAAGTTTCAATATTAGCCCTAGCTGGTTTGGCTCAATGGGTAGAGCATTGGCCTGCAGACTAAAGGGTCGCAGGTTCGATTTTGGTCAAGGGCATGCACCTTGGTCCCAGGCTCCATCCCTGACTGGGTGGCTATGCAACCAAAGGATGTGTGTCTCTCACATCCATGTTTCTCTCTCTCTATTTCTCTCCCTCCTTTCCACTCTCTTTAAAAAAAAAAAAATCAATGGCCAGATATCCTCTGGTGAGGATTAACAAACAACAACAGCAACAACAAAAAGATTGGAGTTAGTCCTGGCCGGTGTTGCTCAGTGGGTTGAGCATGGTTCTCCATGCACCAAAAGGCTGCCCGTTTGTTTCCTGGTCAGGGCACATGCCCAGGTTTTGGGTTTGATCCCAGTTGTGTGTGCTGGAGGCAACCCATCTATGTTTCTCTCTCATATCGATGTGTTTTTCTCTCTCTATTTCCGTTCCTCTCTCTCTAAAATCAATTAAAAATATATTTTTTAAAAAAGTTTGAATTTTACATTTAGTTTGTCAAATAAAAATTCCTTTGGGACTGTATTTAGAATTTATAGATTAATTTGAGAGGAATGAAAATGTTTACAATGTTTAGTCTTCCTACCATGAACTTGGTATAACCTTCCCATTTATTTAGCTTTTTCCCCCCCTGTTATACTTTAGTTTCCAGTATTCCTGAATTACCCTGGGATTTTTTTCCTCAACAATTTTAATACTTTCTTATTCATTGGTGATTTTGACTGGCTTCCACTGCTTACCTGGCAACTTTTTACTTAGCCTTGAAGTCTCAGTTCAAATGCTACCTCCTGGGTGAAGGTTCCCCCATTGCTCCTGCCACGCAGAGCATTTATTATACTTGTCATCTAACTGCAAAAGGAAATAGTTCCTGATTGCCTCCTACACGCCAGAGCCTTGTGGGAAGCACTCGCTGAGCATTAACCCATGTGATTTACAAAGCAGCCTTTTGAAACCAGAGTTGGTGTCAGTCTCTCCATTTATGAAAAAAATAAGCCCAAGAGGGCAGCCTGTCTAAGGCACAAAGTGGGGGGAGGGGGGGGAGGCAGGGCCAGGAGAGGATGCGGGCAGGGTGGCTCCGGAGCCCGTGCCCTCACCGTGAGATATTCTCTTGCAAGCAGTTGTGTTGTCCTGAAGGGGTTCACATGCCTTCATTCACACATCCCAGAGAAGATGTTAGGCGTGCACACACTGAACCAGGCGCCGGAAAACGTGCTGGTTGAACATATGGTGTTGAATAAAACAGACATTAAATAAAAATCACACCAATCAGTATATAGGCACCCATAGTGCTAAGTGCCCTGGGACCGGGGTGCGGGAGGGAAATCCAGTTAGACGATAGAATTACAAAGGGGGAGGGCATCCACAGGCAGAGGCAGGAAGGGTCTGGGGGAAATGTGTTCTTAGGGGGAGGTACAGGAAGGGTCATGCACTTGGCGTAGGTAGGATATGCTGAGTTTTAGGGCTCCTGAGACCCAGCCTCAAAATGTTGGAAATGCGGAGTTGTGGGACTCCCATAGCATGGCTGGGTTGAAGACAGAGGGTGGTAATTACTAAGGAGCACGCTGTGGTTAAAGCCTCAAGCAGGGGCAAGACTCCCCAAAGAAAGCTGCAGAATGAGAAGACAGGCAGACAGAGGAGGAGAAGGAAGGAAAGAAGAAGGATGGAGGTGGCAGTGCCGGCATCCTTGTATCTCCAGCACCCAAACGGGGCTGAGCACAGAATCGGTGCTCAGGACTTGGCAGGCGGCCAAATGAATGAATGGCCCTTTCGGGGTGGCCTTGGTTAAGTCCCTTCCTCGCTGCACCGTGTCCCTATGTAAAATGGCAGTAGCAGCTTGATCAGGAGGGCAGCGGTGGCTCTTGGGGCTCAGTCCGCCCCCGCCCCGCCCCGGCCCCAGCCCCCAGGGGAGCACCCATCATTCTGATGCCCATCAAAGTCAGTGCGCAGGTCCACGGGCTGCGAGGGTGTCCCTGGAGGGCTGAAGGCGCTCAGACTGCAGGGGACAGAAGCCTCGCCTCCTCTGCGCCCAAGAGAGCGGGACGCGCTGCTGGGAGAGGGTGGGCAGGAGGAGGGGAGGGGGAAGGGGGGGCGAGGTCTGTTGCCCAAAGCAGCAGGGACGCCCCGGGAAGCCAGGAGTGAGATGCGGGAAGGAGAGGCCCGCGGGGCGGACTGCCTGGGGCGGCCTGCGCGGGGCAGGGCCATCGCCTCTGCTAGAGACCCCTCGAGATGTGGGTGTGAGGGGCGGAAGTGATGAGGAAGGAAGGGGCCCGGACTGGGAAGACAGATCTCAGAGACCCCAAGGCACGTGGAGATTTTCACCTGGGACCCTGCGGACGCAGAAGTGGGGCCACACGCCAAAGCCATCGGAATAAAGGACCGATCGCTTCGCGCTTGGCAGCCCTGGGGCGCGCCTCTGGGCATCCAGGGCAGCGCAGGAGAGGCTGGGAGAGCCCTGGGGGGCGGGCCCGACGCGCGGGAGTCCGCAGGCGCCTCCAGCCGCCGCGGGGTGGCGGAGTTGGGGGCAGGCGGGCCCCACCGACCCCGCGAGATGGCCCCGCCCCGGAGCCTGGCAGAGGCCTCACCGTGGGGGGCGGAGTTGCCGGCGCTCCACCAGCCCCGGAGACTGTGGCCCCTTCTTAAGCCCGCGGAGCCTCTGGCCGCCTAACCTGCCTCTCCCGCTTCTCCCCCCAGCACGATGGCCTCGGCACTGAGCTATGTCTCCAAGTTCAAGTCCTTCCTGATCTTGTTCGTCACCCCGATACTGCTGCTGCCACTCATCATTCTGGTGCCCACCAAGGTCAGTTGCATCTCCTGCAGCCCCGGGGACTGCAGGCTACCGGTCCCAGTGACGGGCTCCGAACGCGGGGGCACCAAATTGGAGCGCAGGGATTCCCAGGCGGGCACCGCTCCCCTGGGCGTTCAGGGCGCCAGATAGGAGGTGTCCTGTAGAGAATTTCAAGGGGCACCCCAACCCTGGGGTTTACAGATCCCAGGACACAAGAACCGTCCCAACAAGCACGGAACCCCCTCTCCAGACAGGACAGCCACAGGCTCAGCCTGGCCTGAATCTCCCCAGAGATTCCCGCCCCTCCCCTCCTCCCAGTGCCTATAGAGCCCTGGCCTTCTTTCCCTCCTTCTCCCTCCTTAGTGAATGGGGACTTCCCAGCTGTAAGTGGCTTCCAAGACCAGTCAGGCACCTAAGTGGATCCCGAGTGCTGTCCTTGTCGCTCTCTGGCCCTATTTGGAGCCTCAGTTTCCCTATCTACAGCCCACTTTTCTTTCCAGCTTGGATCCCCTGGATGCCATGGCTGAGTCAGATCCTCCTGGGGCTGAGAGACAGGTCGGGGTGGGTCTGCTTTGGGCTCTGCCTGCTGTGGCCGTGGCTGTGGCTGTGGCTGTGGCAGGAGGCGGCCAGGTTCCCAGAGCTCACGCCTTGGGTGGCAGGACTCGGGGTGGCAGGGAAGGCTTGTCCCATGCCCTGGCCTCCTAGCGCTCCTGGGAGGGAGGCAGAGAATGAATGGCCTTGGCCACAGGGTGAGGGCGGTTCTGGGAGCCCTGGCTCCGGCTGCGCTGGGCTGTGTGGAGCCTGTTTGGCAGGGACCCCAGGTCTTTGAAGGCTTTTGTGGCGGCTGGCTGCTCCTTCCTCACTCCCTCTTCCAGCCCTTTCACTCTCAGCCCAGACAGGAAACCCTGGGGTCCCCTGTCCCTCCAGGCAGGCTTGGGAAACAGAGGAGTTCTTTCGGGGATACGCTGGGGCAGTCCCGGAGGACTGGGCTACCAGGAGGCCAAATCTGCAGAGAAGCCGACTTCATTCACTCTTCCTTGTGATTTTAGTGAAGCCTCTGAGTTTTCCGGGCCTTGGTATTCTTGTCTGTACAATGGGCAGGGTGGTTTGGTTCTGACAGGTATGGCTTTGGGTGCCCAAAGGGTCTATGCTGGTTCCTAGGACAGGGGCGGAGAGGCCGAGAGGAGCCCTCCAGGGGGCTGAGCACAGCCCCGGATGAGCCAGGGGTAGCCCAACAAACTGGGGTGGCTCTTCTGTTGTCATACCAACTGTGAGCTGCCACATTTCCCCTGTAGAAAGAGATTTGGGGCTGTTACTATCCATGGGAGGGAGCTGGGGAGGGAGCTGTGATTTTAGTTCTGTTGGTGCGAGTGATGTTCCCTGGAATCATTATACAACTTGGCTGACCTTCCTGCTCTGGGACAGTGTGACTGAGACTCCCTTCCCCCCCCCAAACACACACCCTGAGCTGGGACCCTCAACTCAGAGTGTCTATGAGTGTCATTAACCTGCCTTGGGAGTGAGGATCAGTGACGGAACAGGGGACATCTGGGAAAGTCCTTCCAAAGGCCCCCTTCTCCTGGGACAGGCGTTCCCTCCCGCTGGGACAGGTGACCAGGGCCTGGACCTGTCCTGGTGTTTCCCTTTGTGCCTCTGTTTTAGTCACCACCAAAGAGCTCCCTGCCCCCGCCCCCACGGCCACACCATTGTGCCAGGAAACCCAGAGGCGCTGGCATGGGCAGCCTGTGGGACACTGTCTGAGGGGGGCGGCGAGTCAGAAGGCACGTGCCCCGGCCTCCCCCACAGGCTCCCCTCTTTTCTCCCTCTCCTCCAACCGGATTCCTGTCTGGCTTCATCTTGGCTCCACTTTTTCTGCCCTTTCTTGCCCCACTTTTTAAAAAATAGCTTTTTAATAAAATCAATGATATGTCTATTGTAAACATATCATTGATTTCATTAAAAATGTAAAAAAATATTTTTCAAGTCTGTAAAGTATAAAGCAAAAATGAAAATACCTTTAAATCCCATAACTTATTAATATTCTGATGGCCATCTTTCCAGAAATCAATCCATCTCTTTTCTCCCTCGCTCTCTCACTCACTCACTTTCTACACACACACACCCACACACCCACACAAACACACAGCAAGTTCTCTTACCTACATTCATTTTTCATTAGGCAACATGTCATGGGCAGTCTGTTAATAATTACACATGGGTTCCTTCAGTTGTACATTTAACTTGTATTTGTTGATCCCTACGATGTGCTAGGCCCTGTGCTGGCTGCTGACTTTTAAGTCCCACTCCCCTTTGTCTGGCTCCTCGTGCCTGGCCAGCCACATTCCCGCGGCAGGAAGCGCTCTGAGTTTGTAGTCCATCTCACTCTGCGTGGTGGCCGCCCCTCCTCAGACCGGTCTAACGTAGCCTGTCCCGCACAGCCTCTCCCATGGGAGCATTCCAGACCAGGAGGGTCAAGTCCGCCTCCGCCATGGGGCATCTCTGTGGCCTCGGCAGTGGATGGAGGCGAGGGGCCAGTTAAGCGTGTCTTTTCCGTTGATGGTATTTGGCGCCTCCAGGAGCTGTGCTGTGACAATAGGTTACAGGTGCCACCGGTTGTGTCCAAGTGTAGATAATGAAAATTCTCCCAGCACTTTCTGTTAAAAAGGGTACTCCTACCTCCTCAGGTTACAGGCAAGGTCCCGAAACAAGCAGGGAGAGGGCCGGGTTGGGAGTGAGACGAGTATTTTCTCAATGATCAGTCAGGCACCTAAGTGGATCCTGCTTAGCATCTTATTGAGTGACTGCTGAAAGCCAGCCCGTGGCAGACAGTGGGCACTGGTTGGTCTGCCTGGTGTGGAGCCTGGCTCCTCCCCACACCTCCGTCCTGCCTGGAGCCCCAGGCCGGGGCATCAGCAAAGCCTGAGGCGTTTGTGTTGTCACAGCTGGAGAGAGAGTTACGCCAGCTAGTGGTGTGGGGGCCAGGGATGCTGCTGAACATCTTACAGTGCACAGGGCACCCCACCCCTCAGCAAAGAGTCTTCCAGCCCAAAATGTCCGCAGTGGAAAGGCTGAGAAACCCCGCACCAGGCAGGGCAAGGGGTCCTGAGGTTCTCGTGGGGTGCCAAAGGAAGAAATATTTTTTATGACAGCGAACACAATCCTGACAAAGAATTTCTGTCTTCACCCAACATCCTGTGCACGTAACACGTGCTCTCTGGGGTGATGCTAAGCAGTGAGAGTGAACAGGTGTGTCTCTCTAACAGCGTTATCATAGCGCCAACTATGCTAGTCCATTCCTGAATGGGCATTTGCTGGGCATCTCCTCAGTGTCAGGCCTGTGTGGGAGCTGAAGACAGAGTGAATCCACAAACCTGGTTCTGGTCTCAGGTGCTTCCTCTTCTCTGGTGGTGGTGGTGGTGGTGGTGGTGGTGAGACAGTTAAGGAAAAAAGAATGGCAACCGCATGTGCCAATTGCTCGGGCTGCGGGAGCAGACACAGAGGCAGGGCACAGACCCAGGCTGTGGGGGAGGTAGGGAAGGCGCCTAAGGAGGAACTCAGACTGCCACCAGGCTGGGGTGTGTAAGAGGAGGCTCAGTTACCGCAGTGCCCTGGGGTAGCTGGAACTCGGGGTGTGAGTGGGCAAGGAGATGGCGCTGGCAGGAGGGGGAGTGCAGGGCCTGCTCCATCACAGAGGGTCTCCTAAGTTATGCTAAGGCATTGGGGGTTTGTCCTGGAGGCAACAGGAGGCTTTTAAACGGGGTGATATGATCAGATTTGCAAAAGAGAAAGAGGGAGCCTCTGTGCCTAGTGATACAAGGAAGGTCAAATTGAAGATCATCTCCGCCATCCAGGCTGGAGGAAGTGTGTCCTGAACAAAGGCAGAGGCCCTGGGGTGAGGGCAGGAGGAGGAAGAGGCCAGAGAATAAAGGGCTACAAGCTATAGGTCTTGGGGTTGGTGTAGTAGGCTGGGTTGGAATGAGGGAGAGGGCAGAGTCTGGGTGGTTAAGAATGATTCTGATAAAAGTGCTGATGGAACATGAAACCACCTAGGGAGGTGGGTGTTATTACCCACGTTTTAACAGGTGGGGAGACGGAGGGCGGCAGCAGCATGCCCAGGCCTCAGGACTGTCTCTTCAGTTTGCCAGGTGTGCCTACGTCATCATCGTCATGGCCACTTACTGGTGCACAGAAGTCATCCCTCTGGCTGTCACCGCCCTCTTGCCTGCCTTGCTTTTCCCACTCCTCAAGGTTCTGGACTCCAAGCAGGTGAGCGACCCAGGGGATCCTGGTGGCTTCCTGCTTCTCCCATGGGCTCCTCTCAGAGCCCCTCTCTGAGCAGCCTAGGCCCCGGGGCACCAGATCAGCTCCCTGTGGATTCTCTTGGGCATGGAGACATGCCACTGGACCCTCCATCCCACTCCAAGCTGACCCTCACGTCAGCATCTGCTCTGCTCGCCTGACTCTGGGGACTTGGGTGGGCCCCTGAGTTAATCTCCAGTAGAGACCCCAAACAACGTGTGGCCAGGAGGCAGCCCTGACGGGGACCCCATGCCACCACCTTCCAGGTGTGTGTCCAGTACATGAAGGACACTAACATGCTGTTCCTGGGAGGCCTCATGGTGGCAGTGGCCGTGGAGCGCTGGAACCTGCACAAGAGAATCGCCCTGCGCACACTCCTCTGGGTGGGGACCAAGCCTGCACAGTAATTACGCCTTCTCTTCTTGCCACGGGGCACCCTGCGGGCCCCAGGGCTGGGGAGGAGCTGTGGCACAGCCCAGTTACCCACTGGCAAGGGCTGCCCATGGGCTTACCTGGGCCTGGCAGGTAGGTGGACCCCTGAGTGGGGTAGGTGACAATCTTAGCTGAGGACACCAGATGCATGGGCAATGGTGGGGGCCTGTGGTGAGTGGCAGTAGGTAAGGGTTCTCTGAATCCAGAGGAGACTGGTCAGCAAGGGCCCCTGCATGTAGAAAGGACTTCCTGGGGGAGGGGCTGCAGGGTTCCACAGGGAACAAGGTGGGTGGAGGCTGGATCCAGCCATGCCTGGTAGGGCATTTGTGGGGAAAGCAGGCCAGAGGTGGCTCAGCCACCCCACTCAGGAGGAGCAGAAAGGTCATCCTTCCAAAGCTAGCAGCTTCTTACCTCATCTTCCCCATGTCACTTAGCACCTCAGCTTCTCCCCTCTCTCTAAGATCTCCCCTCCAACCACAGGCAGCTCCCAACCAACCCATGGAGTTGACATCATCGGATTCCCCTGGTACTGAGCACCTGCAGCGCCCAGGCATGACTCTGGGAGCTCATTTATCTCCTCAGTTAACTCTCACCACAACTCTGAGAGCTGGGTATTATTCCTCCTCCAGATTCTATAGACGCGGCATTTGAGACAGAGGGGGGTTAAACGCTGTGAAATGAGGCCTTGGCCCCTGAGTTAATCTCCAGTGGAGACCCCAGGATGTACCTTCTTTTGGCAATGTGCTCCCTAAATGACGGCGTGCCCAGCCCAGCCCTGGGAAGGCAGCGGTTGGTTACTGCACAGCAAATCCCTCCCGAGATGTCCATGTGTCAGGGACTGTGCCGGGCCCTGCGCACACAGAGCCTGGTGCACCCCCAGGAGTTGATGCCTGGCTCCCTTGGCACCTCAGGCTCCGCTGAGCAGAAAGCTTTGGGACTCTCTGGTGTCTGTTATCCTATGTGGTATCGATCCCCCCCAGTGATTGGTCTACAGGGTCAAATCTAAGGCCATTGCATGTTCTAGAAGTGTGAGACCTCAGTGGCCTCAGAATTCTTGCTCTCAGGATCCTTTGAGTGGCCAGCCTTCCTCCACCAGCAGGCGGTCCTCATTCTGAGAGAGCTGAAGGACACTGGTTCCAAACCCAGGAAGTTCACGCAGGCTTCTCAGCTCCTTCCTGTCTCCGGGCTTCTCCTCTGAGCGTGGTTTCCAGCTCCATGGCACTTGCCTGCCCCGGGGAGACCTTGATGTTGAGGTCTACATGCTGCCTTGAAGCATCAGGTCAAAGCCTCATTTATGAAAACTCTGCTCCTCCTTCTAGCCCAGACCCAAGCCTGTGTTCTGTGGGTCTGTGAAGTCAGCCTGCATGGACACCGGTGTGGACCTTGCCTTGGGGCAGTGCAGCTCCCAGATCCCTTCTCCAGGCGCATTAGTGGCCCCACGGAAAGGCCTGGCCGCAGAGGGGCATGGAGACTGAGGGTGGTTTTGTTCCATCCATCCAGCCCTCCCTGAGCTCCTCTGTTCCTGGCCTTGTGCTGGGTGTGTGGAAGCCATGGAGAGGAACCAGCTCTTCTCCCTGCTCACCACCAAGGGGAGAGCAGACATGGGCATGGGTCCTCCAAATCCAGCCATTGATGAGTGTTGGTGGGGCTGGAGGAGGGTGTGTCCACCCCTGCCTGGTGGGCACCGGGAGGAAGGCTACAGAGGAGGGACTTTGATTAGAAGAACCACGAGGGGTGCTCTAGGCAGATGGCAGAGGTGAGACAGCAGTGGAAGGACAGGTGTTATAAAGGAAGGGAACATATTTCCTGAATACTGTTTGATCTGGTCCATTGCAGAATAGAGGGAGTACAGGTGTGTGTGCAGAGAGAGTCGGTGGGGCAGTCAGCCGTGAGAGAGGTCCCACTTTCCCAGGCTCACCCTACCCCTCAGGCTAACTCTGTTATGAGAGGAGAAGCAGGGTCTGGGGTGCGTGGGAATCTTCTAGACAGAGGTGGCGTGTTGGGGCTGCTTGCCCATAGGGCTGCTCCATCACACCCTTAAGACACAGTAGGGCCAACCTCCACCCTGGGTTGACACCTTCTGGATGCCTGTGCTCCCCCCGCTGGACAGGAGCTCCTCAGAACCATGACAGGTTCCAAGAAAGGCCTCTTGGTGTCCCCTCAATTCCCCCGCGCCATAGCCAGCGGGGTAGACATCAGTAATGCCTGTGGGAGAGAGGTAGGAGGGAGAACAGAAGGAAGGAAGGGAGGGAGAAAGGATGGGAATAAGTGAGGGACTAAAAGTATAATCCTCTCCTGGACTACCCAGTCTTGAACTGGCATCAGCACCTTGGCCTTGACCCCTGGCATCCCTGCAGGGGACCTAACCCATGTTGCTCCCTGAGGGCTTGGGGCAATGGGGGTGGGGATTCTCTGCTTCCCTTCCTGCTCCTCCTCTGCAGGCTGATGCTGGGCTTCATGGGCGCCACCGCCTTCCTCTCCATGTGGATCAGCAACACAGCCACCACAGCCATGATGGTGCCCATAGTGGAGGCCGTGCTGCAGCAGATGCAGGCCACGAGCACAGCCAGCGAGGCCGGCCTGGGCGCCCTGGAGCTGGTGGACAAGGGCAAGACCGGTGAGGTGCCAGGTGAGCCGCTGCCAGGGTGTGCTGGGTCCACAGCTTTGGCCACCTCCCTGACTCCTGGAGCCCACATTTAAACAGGCATAAAGAGACATACTTAGAAACTGCGGTTTTTGTAACCTTTGGAAATGTAATTATTGCAGGAAAGTTAAGTTCGTTAGTACAGTGGGGCCTTGAATTACGAGTTTAATTCGTTCTGAGACAGAGCTCGTTAAGGAGCTCGTTAACTCAAATTACTCTATCAACTCAATGCAAAAAAATCGGCCGAGAGACAGCTGGTATCTCAAAAAACTCGTTAGTCGGGACACTCGTAAGTCAAGGCCCCACTGTATTGCTTATAGCAAGTTTCAAATCACTAGGTATTCATTTGATTATGCATTTGAGCATCTTTTGAGCACTCACTGGGGGGCCCTCACCTGTTGGTCTTCCTACTCATCCTCAGGGAGGCCTCCCCTGAACAGGTCACACCTCTCGTCTGCTCTCTGCTCCCACAGGCACCGGGATGGTTGTCCCATGCTGCTTCCCACCAGGCACTCAGCTCAGGGAACTCAGAGTGCGCCTGTTTTATTATCTGCCTTGTTTGCACCCCATCCCCAGGGCCCAGCACAGGGGAATTCAGGGTCCATGCTGATGGCCCGATTGCCAGATCCTGGGGCAGGTCCTGGGGTTGCTGAGATGAAGTGGGCACACCCATATTTCAGACTCAAGGAGCCGGGTGGGGTGGGGTAATGAGGCCCCTCACACAGGTCCTCTGACTTGGGGGAAGCCATAAGCCAGACACCAAAGGAGCTCAGACAGGGGAGGCTTGCTAGAAGGCACGGACACCTAAGATAGATTTAGACACCCCCTGGATGGACAGACCAGCTGGAACAGCTCGGAAGCAGAGAAGAAAGGCGTGTGTCTGAGGCAGCTGCATTTGCCCTGGGCATGGAGGAGCCTGGGGAAGCTGTGGGAAGTGACGGGGAAGGCAGACAGGGCCAGACTACACAGTAGGGCTGTGGGCTGTTGTAGGACCCAAGGAGGGAGCCTGCGGAGCCAGCACATCCCGCCTCAGGTCAGCAGCAGAGCTAGGAGCTGGAGCTGAGCCGCGGCCCCTGGACTGGCTCTGCTCACGGAGGTGTGTCACTACAGGGAGCCAAGTGATTTTTGAAGGCCCTGCTATGGGGCCACAGGAGAATTGTGACAGGAAGAGCATGTGCAAGGCCATGACACTGTGCGTGTGCTACGCGGCCAGCATCGGAGGCACTGCCACCCTGACCGGGACAGGACCCAACGTGGTGCTCTTGGGCCAGATGCACGAGTGAGTCACTGGCCATGCCTTCTGGGAACAATGACTTGGGCCCTGGGTTGTTGGATGGACTCAGCCTCGTCTCCCATCTCCTGAGCTGGGCCCTGGAGCTGGGGCCTGGCAGGGGCGGGAGGCTGTGCCCCCATCAGCCTCTGCTGCACCTGCTCAGGTCTCCTCAGGGTGGGAGCTGATGACAGGCCCCAGGCCTGGCTGCTTTCTGTCCTGGGGGCAGGATATTCGCTCAGACAGGTCCTGTGATTGAACTCTGAGCTAAAGTCACGGGAATGACAACATTGTTTAGATGCTGGGTCCTTGTTTAAAACTTGCAGAAAATAGACACCCTTATAAATGCTCTCCTCAAAACTGGCTCACTGACCTTGGTCGTGAATGGTAATGGCCCTATGATATTGGGGATCTGGAGATGCAATAAAGGGCTAGGGGTTGGGCCACTCATTGCCTCACCAGCTCGTTCACTACAGTCCCTCTCACTGTCCTTGAGATGACGTGTGCCCTTGTGAGGCACCAGGTGGACCACAGTGGTGATCTGGAACTTTCCTTGGCCACAAAGAGACACAGGCCTTGAGGACCCAGTTGTGTGCTGGCCTTGTGCTGGGTGGGGCTGGAATCACAGAAGAGGGGGAGACCTGGGCTCTGTCTGTAGGATACCCATGGTCTGCTGAGGGTAGCAGATGCCTGGAGAGTTCTAGGCAGGACATGTAAATGCATGAAGGAAAGTACAGACGCAGTGAGCGCAGGGAAGGAGAGAAGTATGACATGCCCGTCCTGTGCAGACAAGACAGGTGGGGTGGGAGGGCAGCTAGGAGGTAGGAGGGCAGGCCTGGAGCCTGGCCAAGCAGACTCTTGAGGTGGACAAGCAGACTGTTCTGATCCTGTGATGTTTTCTGTAATGATAGCCTCAGGCTCTCCCTGGAGTTCCCGCTGAGTGCAGAAAGCGCTGTGTCTACTTTCACACCCTTGGGCTAAAGTGAGCAAGTCTGGGGGTGGGAGGTGGAGCCTGGCGTGGAAGAGACCCTCTTCCAGTCCCCAGAACCCTCTCTGGTCCCACCATGGGAGACTGGGAGATTTGTTTTCCTAAGGGGGCCTTCCCTTGTAGGAGCCCACAGGGTGAGGGTTCTGGGGGCGACCCCTTCCTCCTGATGCTATTGACCAATTTCTGTGTGTACAAAGCTGTGTTTCTCTGGAGGGAAGAGCCATGACTCTCATGAGCTTCTTAACAGGGTTGGGACCCCCATGATGGTCAGTTGGTCACCCCTGGCTTGTATTGGGCATGACTCTTCTGGGGCCCCAACTGATTAGGGTAATACCGGGCGGTGGGCATGGATGGCTGGACCTTAGGAGGATGGGACTCTGCTCCAGACCACCTCGCAGGGTCCAGCTACTGGCCAGCTGGACACACCCGGCCTGACCTGCTTGCTCTGCGGCTCAGCATCTGGTAGAGGCTTGGACCCGTGTTTCTCTCTCCAGGCTGTTTCCTGAGAGCAAAGACACCGTGAACTTTGCCTCCTGGTTTGGATTTGCCTTCCCCAACATGCTGATCATGCTGCTGCTCGCCTGGTTTTGGCTCCAGTGTATTTTTATGGGATTCAAGTAAGTTGAACTGCTTCTGGAATAGTCCAACCCGCCACGCCCTCGCAGAAGAACCAATAGGCGAGCCCACAGAGTTTTTCCTGTCTGGCCCCATTTCAACAGCCCCATCATCTGCTAGTCTGCCCTCTCATGTTGGCTACCTCATGCTGCTCACCGTGCCTTTGCATACGCTGTTCCCTCTTTCTGGAATGCCATTCCCTATCTTCTCATCTTTCAATCTCCTCAGGCTTCAAGGCCAGTTCAAATGCTGCTTCCTTAGGGACATGTTTCCTGACTTTCCCCACCCCATTTCCCCACCCCATGCCTGCTCCTCTGGGCTTCCCTGGGCACCCATGGCCTTGACCCTTGGTACCTGTTGCCATGTTCCAGCACTGCCCGTGTCCCCTGACCCTTGACCTGAGATCCTTTGGGGCCTGTGGTAAGTCCTCTCTGTCCCCTGCCCCCAGCCCGGCTCCCGGCCAGGGAGAAAGTGTGCCATCAACGTGAGTCAGAGCAATTACAGGGAATCTTGTCCCCGTGAGCAAATCGATACTCTGGACCAACTCCCACTTGGCTGTGTGTCCATTGGGTCGGGTCACAGCACACCACCTGCCAATGTCCAGACTCTTACTGAACACCTACCACGTTCACCAGCAGCGTGCGCGTTCTGGGAAGTTTACCTTCCTCTTCCCAGTACACCCAACCCAAGTTCACCAGGAGTCGACCTTGCCAGCACCCAGACTTTGGACAGAAACCATGGTGTGTGGCTGACAAATACCTCAGAAACACTCTTGTGATTTTAAAAGACACATAACTATCTGTGGAGCTAAGGGGACCCTCTCACATGAGTGTGGAAAGTGCTTAGCTGTGAGTGTGTGCTCTGTGCCTTAAATCACAGCCAGCTAGAGCCAAAGACGAGGGGCTATCTGGCCACAGGGAGATCTCAGAGCCGAGAGGCAAAAGTGTCCCAAAACCCAGGGAGTTAGCGGGGGGAAATGGGATTTTTGTAAGTTTTCTTCTGAAGGAGGAACTGATTTGGAAACTGCAGTTAAAAGAAATCTCTATATAATCATAAGTAGTCATAGCAACGACATCATAATAGCGGTGGGCATCCTCATATGCCACCCGTGTGCAGACCTCACGTGAGAGGGAAGCTGCTCCCATGGGCACTTGGGGCACAGCCTGGTCTCGAGGGAAGCACACCTGCTTCAGGACCAGCGGGACCCGGGAGACCTGCCCCTAACCTGTCGCAGGCTGCAGGTGGTGTCCTGCCTCTGATGGGGCCATAGGAATAATAATGACCAACATCTGTTGAGTGTTTACTAAGTCGCAGACACAACTTTAATGACTCTGCATATATTAATTAATCTTCACATCAACCTGTGAGGTAGGTGCTCCTATTATTCCCAATTTACAGGTAAGGCAACTGAGGCACGGAGAGGGGAAAGGGCTGCTCAGGGCTGTGTAGCTTGGAAGCCATGGGACTGAGCTTTGAACACAGGCAGTTTGGCACTACAGCAGCGGTTCTCAACCTGTGGGTCGCGACCCCTTTGGCGGTCGAACGACCCTTTCACAGGGGTCGCCTAAGACCATCCTGCATATCAGATATTTACATTATGATTCATGGGAGCATCTTCCAGTCTGGGCATGTGCTAGCACACGTAACAGGTCCTGGGAGGCATGGTGGGCAGGTGAGAGACATGGAGTGGGGAAGGGGTGCACTCAAGCACCCTCCACCCCAGACGATGGGCAGCACCATAGGCCTTCCCACCATGCTCTGCTGCCCCACATTCAGGCTTCCATTTGACCAGCCTCTGAGCCAACCAACCTGCACCTCTGTTTTCTTTCTGTGTCTCCTCTAGTTTCTTTTGTTTAATTCTTTATTGTTGAAAGTTTTACATATGTCTCCGCTTTCCCCCATTGACCTCTCCCTGACCGTTTCCGCCCCCCAGAACATGCTCCTACCCCGCTGTTGTCTGTATCCATTCGTCATGCTCATATGCACAGTTACAAGTCCTACGGTTCATCTCTTACCTCATCCCACCCCCGCCCTCCCGTGCCCTCCCTCTGAGATTTGATGGTCTGTTCCATGCTTCTATTTCTCTGTATCCTCTAGTTTTAAAAAGGCTTGGGGCTGCAGTCTGGAGAAAAAGAGTAGCGAGAAAGCTGCCTACGAGGTGTTGCAGGAGGAGTACAGGAAGCTGGGACCCTTCTCCTTCGCCGAGGGCAACGTCCTGCTCTGTTTCCTCCTGCTGGTCACCCTGTGGTTCTCCCGGGACCCAGGCTTCATGCCTGGCTGGATGGCGGTCGCCTGGATGGAGGGCGAGACAAAGTAAGTCCCTGCTTCTGCAGCGCCTGCCGTGTCCTCCTTTGTTCTGTAGTTGAGTTCTGTTGGTTTCCCGACTCAGTGGTTCCTCACGAATCTTCAGGACCAGCCCACAGCTATGTCCCTGTGAAGACTCCTTCCCCAGCAGGTTGAGCAGAAAATCCTTGGCCAGGGTGGTGGTCAAGAGAGACTTGTTGGGCTGGAGTGAGGCTCCCAGAGCTCTGGGTTCCAAATCTCTCCTCCATCATCTCCCCAACCCCCACCATCTTTCCTTAGATCTGGGCAAGTACCTAAAGACACAGATCCTGGGGCCCAGATGCTTCTTTAGGTAGAGACTTGGCAAAAAGGGGGTATATGTAGTTTCTCTCCAGGCTAAGATGTTACATGGAAGAAAGGCTGAGAAACGAGCATATTCCTGGAAGTGGGTTGGGAGACAGCTGCCTGTTACTGTTGATTCCATTTCTTATTTTTATTTGGTTAATCCTCAACCGAGGACATTTTTCCCATTAATTTTTAGAGAGAGTGGGAGGGAAGGAGGGAGGAGAGAGAAAGGGAGAGAAGAGAGAGAAATTCCAATGTGAGAGAGAGACATCAATTGGTGGGCTCTGCATGCGCTCCAACCAGGTGGGGATGGAACCTGCAACCCAGGTACATGCCCTTGACCGGGAATTGAACCTGTGACCCTTTGCTGGGTGGACCAATGCTCCAACTACTGTATAACAGGGGCCAGGGCTACTGATTCCTTTTGGAAGGTCTGCTGGTGATCACCTGGTGAACCCAGATTTCTAGGGAATGTGGCCTAGAAGAGGTCAGACATTCACCCATGAAACAACACAGAATGTGAGAGGGAAGTAAGCTGCCCAGAGTCGCCCAATACTGGTGACAGAGCCAGGCCAAGCATTGGGGGGATGGGGGGGGTCTTGGTTTCTAGCCAGGATTCAGTCTACCGCACTACTCCTGACCTTGGCCTTTGGGGTTCCAGTTTTCACGCCCAGCTGAGCCTGCCTCTTCACGCAGGAGCACGTAGACGAGGCACAGGTTTGTGGCATGGCTTCCTGCAGCTGAGTTGGCTCATCCATGCCCTCTCCCCACCTAGGTATGTCACCGACGCCACCGTGGCCATCTTCGTGGCCATATTGCTATTCATTGTGCCTTCGCAGAAGCCCAAGTTCAACTTCTGCAGCCAGACTGAGGAAGGTAATGCCCCTGTCTTGCCTTGTACTCATCAGGGTTGGGGGCCTGGTAGCAGAATCTCTCCATGGGAGTCCCTGGGCTTGGGGGGGTGTGGGGGGGAGAAAAGCCCACTCCATCAAAGACGACTGGCAAGATTGCATAGTCTGGGCAGAGGGCATTTTCAGCCCTCCCTAGGTATTGTTAGTGCAACATCTCTTTTGCTTTTTAAACATTTGAAATCGTATTAATATTACATCAGGAACAGAAAAATGTTTTGCATTTCCCACACCACCATCCGTATTATTTTGGTTTCTCGCTTCCTCCCAGTCTTTACTAATAAGCACGTATATTATATGGCTATAATCAAAACACACTGTTTGAATCCTGTTGCTTTGTTGTTTCTGTTTTCATGTTTTTGACCGGGTTACCATAGAGACATTTCTTGCTCTTGCCCCAGTCTTCAAACTTATCTTCCCTAATAACGGCATTGTATGGAGTCAGGGGGCTGTAATCATTCTCCTATTATGGGACATTCTGGCTCTTTTGAAATTTCATTATTATAAATTAAAGTGTTTCTTCTTCAGGATAAATTTCTAGGGTGTCAAATTGCTTTCCAAAAAGATTGCACCAATTTATACTGCTGCCAGGAGTGTGTGATAGTTCTGCCATATTTTCACCAGCAATGGGTGCAGTAATTATTGTAAATTTTAGCTAATTTGTAGATATGAGATGGTACTCCTTGTCCATACAGGCTTTTATTCCCCTGATCAGATGTCTTGGGCTTCATAAGGCTGCTCTGGGTTGTGTATGTGTGTTTTTCTTGTCTCTTCTCAGAAAGGAAGACTCCGTTTTATCCGCCTGCACTGCTGGATTGGAAGGTGACCCAGGAGAAAGTTCCCTGGGGCATTGTGCTGCTGCTGGGGGGCGGATTCGCTCTGGCTAAAGGATGCGAGGTAACTTCCCCAGCTGTGGGCTGCCCAGGGCCTCCTTCTTTCACCAAGAGGGTGGCCAACGAACTGTTCCACCCCTGCACCCCTGTACCCTGGGCTGGTTCTGTGTCAGTCCCCTCTACTAATTGCACATTTCTCAAGAACAGGGACTCTGTCTTGTCATGTAGGAACCCTGGGCCACGATTAGTGCCTAGATTAGAGAAATACTCTTTGAGTGATTGTGGAAATAGTGAATTTAGGCGACCCCGGGTTGGCCAAGAGAGGCAGAGGATGCTGTGAGGTCTCCTTTGGGATTGGACAATAGGATCTTTACTCTGATTTCTTCTAGGGAAATCCTCCTTTCAAGTCCTTGTGGAAATCTCCACCATTACCTTTGGTTCTTCTACTCCCTGAACTCTTTGTTGATATGGCTGCCAGTTTAAATTTTTCTCTAGCTAAGTGTATAGATGTGTAGAAGGAGAGGAACAGCCTTTGGGAAAAACCACCTCAAAAATGTAACCTTCTTACCTCTCCTCCTCCCATAATAGGGGAAAAGTGAGCCAGAGAGACTGATGAGCCAGTATTCTCCACCCATTCATACATCCATGCACCTGTCCATCTGTCCATCCACCCAGGAATAGAATGTGATAGATAGGCTGAGTCTATCCTGTTATTCTGTTTCCTTGGCATCTGGAACAGATCCTGGTGCATGGCAGGCGCATCAATATTTTTGGATGAACAAATCCATTCGTCTTCTCTATCCAGTCATCCATCCATCTAGCATTCATTCCTTTCACCACATGTTTCTATTATGCCCCTGTTAGTCCAGGCAAGGGACTTACAGAGGAGATTGAAATAGGGTCCTTGTTCACAGGACCATCACAGGCTAGAGAGGGGACATATGTGGGAGAGCATTTAGGGCAGAAGTGACACGTTGGTAAAGGAATAAGTGTGTGGTACCTAGCTGAGGATCAGAAGATGAGGCTGCTGAGGCTAGCAGATACTAGTCCATGAGGGTCTTGAATTCAAGATAGGGAGTGTGGACTTAATTCTGCAGGCACTGAATTCAGGGGGCAGCCACTGAAGGGTTGAGGCCAGAGAGTGACTTTGTCAGAACTCCAATTGGGGAAAATCACTTTGATGTCTGAAGTAGAGGCCTAGGCAGGGCTGGGTGGAGGGAGACCATTAGACGCTCTATAGCTTTCATCCAATTCAGGCTCAGTACTGGACTCCACGGACCATTCTCTCCTTGAAACTCCCTCCTCCTTTGGTCCCCAAGATACCATTCTCTCCTGGCTTCCTTCTAACTCTGACTATTCCTGCTCAGGCTTCTTTACTGATTTTTCCTCTGTTCTCCCTTAAATATGAATGTTCCTCTAGGCCAGTGGTTCTCAACCTTCCTAATGCCGCGACCCTTTAATACAGTTCCTCATGTTGTGGTGACCCCCAACCACAAAATTACTTTTGTTGTTACTTCATAACTGTAATTTTGCTACTGTTATGAATTGTTATGTAAATATCTGATATGCAGGATGTATTTTCATTGTTCGCGACCCACAGGTTGAGAACCGCTGCTCTAGGCTCTGTCCTTGGTACCTTCTCTGTTTATTTTTACATTCTCTCCCCTGGACAATCTCTTCTCAGCCCAAATCCAGATCCCAATTTCTGTCTCAGATTTCTCTCCTGAACTTTAAAGACTGTGGGAGACTGAGAGGAGACAATGGACATGAGATGTTTGGGGTGACTTGATTGAGTGGAAGGGATGAGGGGGACAGAGATCCCCAGGATGATTCCTGGTCTTCTAGGACAGCAGGTGGATGGTGACTCCATGCACCAAACTGGGGAGCCAGGGGGAGCGTAGACTCTGGGCTAGAGAGGATGAATGCAGGTTGGGGCATGTTGAGTCTGACATGTTCATGGACATCTGGGTAGAAATTTTTAGAAGGAGTATGGATGTTGAAGTCTGGATAGTAGACCAGCTGGGCTAGAAACACAGATTTTGGACACAGCAGAATGAGGACGGAGACTGAAATTGTGGGGATGGATGAGCTCACCTGTGGAATGTATGCAGAGAGAATAGGTAGGAGGGGAGAGGCAGCGCTCCCTAGAGAAAGATGAGGGTCTCTCCTGGCTTTGGAGGCACTGTAGCCATTAGCCCTTCAGTGACTGCCCTCTGGTGCTTTCCAGGCCTCGGGGCTGTCTGAATGGATGGGGAAGCAGATGGAGCCCTTGCACGTTCTGCCCCCAGCAGCCATCTCCTTGGTCTTGTCCTTGCTCATTGCTGTATTCACTGAGTGTACAAGCAACGTGGCCACCACCACCTTGTTCCTGCCCATCTTTGCCTCCATGGTAAGTAACTCTGCTGGGGGAGGAGGAGGCTCAGCCATTATTTCATTAGAAGCTTTCAACCCAGGACTATGTCGCAGCAAGGCTGCGAAATCAGGGGCCAGAGCCCTACCAGGGTTTTGAGCCTCTGATAGGACTTGTGTGCCTTTGATGACCATGGGCCTGCCCTCAATGTTTTGCTGGTTCTTTTTTTGTATCCCCCATGCTGGCCAAAGCACTAAGCATAAGCCAGGTTCTCATAATGTATTTATAAATGTAACCGCTTATTTTTCAAAATGGATTGTCTGGACTTGGGCCAAGGCGGTGGGGACCAGTGCCACGAGGGAATGATAAAGGGTCTTTGAGAATGTAGCACAGGTGTGCAGGAGGACTGCAGATCAGAGGGACACCACTGGCTGGGATTTGGGGACACCTCTGGCTGGGAAGGTGGGGCTTGGGGATGGTTTGGGGGAGAGGAAATTCTGGGAAGGTGAAGAGTCCAAAGAAAGGAAGTGAGTGCATGACTGAAAACCCCTGAAAGCCCTGCATTGAGCCCCGGGATCAGGAATCAGGGCACTGTGGTCAAGCATGTTGTTGAGCTGGGACTTAGAAGAAAGCAGAGCCAATAGGAAAATCAGCCGTGATCTTTCCGTGCATTTTCTCCTGTCACTCATGACATGGCAATACTGACCTCAAGGTGGTAAAAGAAGAGCCCTGGGCTTGGGGTCAGGAGACCTGAGTTCAGGTCCTGGGATCCTAGAACATAGGGCTTATGCTCTTTCCTCCTACACTTGTGCTGAGGGTCAAGAAAGATGATGGCTATGAAAATCCTCTGTAGATTGCCAACAAGCCTGGGAGAGGCTGAGGTTGCCGTTCTGGAGTTGGGAGGCAGACTTACAAAACCTGAGCACCGGATTGTTGTTGGTAAACTTCACCTTGGCTGCCAAGGTGTCCATGTGTATAAAAAGCAAAGCCAAGTGGCTTCTCCTTTCAATCCAAGTGAAGATGAAAGTGTTAGAAATAGCAAGGCGGCTCATCTCCCCCTCCACTAGGCAGGCTGCCCAGACCTATGCCAAGGAGCATTCTTTGTTGCTGGGCATGGGGTGGTGAGGCCTCCCTGCTCTAGCAAAGGCTTGACTTTGTCACCTCCAGCCCCCGCATTGAGTCCTGAGGGCCCCAGACCAGACAAATGAAGATCTTAACCCACGGGGTAGCCAGGCCCATCCAAACAAGTCTTCCTAAAGCCAGATGTATGTCACATAAATACTTATTTATAATAAATAAAAGGGATGGATGAAATAAGTTATACGCTCATACGATGTACTATTACCAAGCCAATTTTTAAAAAATCAGAGCTTTGAAGGGCAGTTAGTAAATTGGGAATGTGCATAATTTTTAAAAGCTTCACCTGAGAATATGTTCATTGATTTTAGAGAGAGAGTAAGGAAGGGAGAAAGAGAGAAACATTGATCTGCTGCCTCCCACACATGCCCCAATTGGGGATCGAACCTGCAACCTAGGTATGTGCCCTGACTGGGAACTGAACCCACAACCTTTTTTTGGTGTGTTGGGATCATGCTCCAACCAACTGAGACATCCAGCTGGGGTTAATACTTTTTTAAGTTAAAAATGTAATACATATACATAGCTTATACATGTCCAATAATACCAAAGAGTATAGGCCAGGGGTGGGCAAACTTTTTGACTTGAGGGCCACAATGGGTTCTTAAACTGGACCGGAGGGCCGGAACAAAAGCATGGATGGAGTGTTTGTGTGAACTAATATAAATTCAAAGTAAACATCATTACATGAAAGGGTATGGTCTTTTTTTTTTTTTTTTTTTCAAATGGGCCGGATCCGGCCCGCGGGCCGTAGTTTGCCCACGGCTGGTATAGGCCCTACCCTCTAGCTTCCTCCTAGAGATAACTTCTGTTATTAATTTCTTAGGTATCTTTCTGGATGTATTACACACACATACACACATTTTTTTTAAACAAATGGTATCATTCTATGATCCTGTTCTGCACCTTAAATCTTTAAAAATCTAACGATAGGTCTTGGAGATCTTTGCATACTAGCACATAGGACCAGTCAGTTCTTCCTTATAGCTGCGAACGAGTCATTGTGTGTATACATATTTTATTTAGCCAGCCTGCTGCTCATGGCCACTGAGTCCGTTTCCTGTGTGTTTTGCTGTTATGATGTTGCAATGGACATCTTTGCATATGTGTCTGCCCTCGTGTGTTTATAAATCTGCATGCTAGTTATTAATTTTGATAGGCAGTAACTAATATTATGACTTACATTATGATATCATTCATTTATTTAGCAAATATTTAATGAGTGTCTCTGCTCTGTGCTGGGTGCTGTTTGCTACATGTGGCTGAATTTTAAGCTGTAGAGTAAAAAAGATGGATACCAAATTCCATATTCAAAATGTACAACAACACATGCAGACACAGATGTATCTATAGGCGAGACGTGGTCCCTGCCCTCTAGGCTCTTGCGGTCTTTGGCAGAACACATAGGTGTGTGCACAGGTGGGCTGCAGTAACACTTCCAGATTCAGTGCAGTCTAAGTGGCCAGCATGGTCTTTGGCACATAGTAGGTGCCCTAGAGCTATGTGCTGAATGAATGGAAGGGGTTCAGAAAGGCTTCCCGGCGAGATGGCTCTGAGCTCAGCCTTTGGGGTCCAGCAGAGTTATCACCAGAGGCATGGCAGAGGGTAGAGCCCCCAGAAGGACCAAGGCATGGAGGTAGGAACTCGCACAGTACATGAGGGGGATGCTTTCAGAGTGATGGTCCCAGGAGCTTTTGTTTTCTGTGTATGTGACACTGCAGTGCTGTGTTTCCCCCCAGTCACGTTCCATTGGCCTCAACCCGCTGTACGTCATGCTCCCCTGCACCCTGAGTGCGTCCTTTGCCTTCATGTTGCCTGTGGCCACCCCACCTAACGCCATCGTGTTTGCCTACGGACACCTCAAGGTTTCTGACATGGTAATGCAGCTGCTTTTATTTCCTCCTCTCAGCTCTGACGCTTTTGTCATGAGGGACACCCTATTCATTAATGACTTGTGATGTCATGTAATTTGGGAATACCACCCAAAGTCCAGCCCTATTCTCATTATTTGCATTTATGTGCAGTTTTTCTTCCTTTTTGAAATCATCTCGCATTTCATACTGTCCTGTCTCCCAAAGCTGAGAGGTGGGTGATAGAATCTCCCACCTGGAGGTGCCCGAGCAGCCACTAGGGGAGCCCTCGCTGATCACTTGGAAGGGGTGAGGGTGAAGGTGGGGATGGGGCCCCACATGGCCAAGATGGACTTCACCAACTAGCAAGAACCCTTAAGGACAGGCAGGAGGGACAAGGCTGAGATGGGTGGTAGGGATGGATACTAATGACAGACTGACTGACAGAGGTGTCTGCAGACGTAGAAGTGGGGACAGGGAGAGGCAGTGCCTGGGAGAGTTGGGGCGTTGGAAACAGATGCAGCTGGAGGAGGAACTCTCTTAGGTTCTACTTGGGCTCTACTGCCTCTGCCAGGAGAAGGGGCCGGTCTCAGAGATGGACAGGCAGGAAGGAGGGTCCTCCCTCAGGCAGGTCAGGTGTGCGTGATCTCAGAGCCACCACTTGGCATCTTTGGGAGTCTGTGGAGCATTCTTAATAAGAAACATGGACCAAAAATAATTCCGATTCCCAGTGACAAATCTACACGGGGCTTGAAGCAGTGGGTAGTGAGCGAAAACAAAGAACTGGCATCAGAAAGAGCCAGGGAGGTTCTTGAGAAACTAGCTGGTGCTTCAGGGACACAGATGTTCTGGGGTGAGCACAGGCCCTAGACTCAGACATAGGCTCCCCCAATATTTCTCTGAGTGGCCTGGGGTATTGCCTCATGTCCCTCCCTAAGGCCCAGTGTTGCAAATGTTCAAGCAGGCAGACAACCCGCCATCATGCCTGTGTCCCAGGGATGCTTGAGCACCGATGACACTTACTGGCTATGAAATTGCTCTGTCTGTGGGGTAGGGTGAGCACAGAGCATGACCCAGGGATGGGGGCCCAGCAAACCAGCCTGCAGCCCCTTCTCCAAGAGCACTAGTTCCCAGTGTCCCTTTCACCTCTCTTCTGAATCCCGCTGACTCTTGGCCCTGATCTTCCCCAGGTGAAAACAGGAATAATGATGAACATAATTGGAGTCTTATGTGTGTTTCTGGCGGTCAACACCTGGGGACGGGTCATGTTTGACCTGGACAATTTTCCTGACTGGGCTAATGTGACTCATATTGAGACTTAGGAAGAGCCTCAAGAGCATAACACAGCCCCGCCTTCCTGAGGACTCCCGAAGCTTCCGGCACACCGTACAGCAGAGCTTTGGGGTTGACACCCCAAAGTGACCTGATGATGCCCTCACCCCACAGAGACCCCAGTCCCAGCTGAGGACAGGTGGCGGAGAGCCGGTTTGGAAATTAAGGGAGCGTCCCAAGACCCAGATGGCTTCCATCTTTCCGGGGTCATGCCTCGAACTCTGGGACAGGCCGCCTACATGCTGGGTTCTGGTGTCCACTTGCTTAGTCTCAGGGTCATCTACATGGGGATCAGATCCCAGCTTGGGAGGTGAAAAACGGCCTTCCAGAGCCTGCACCTCCTGCTGCTGACCTTGGCTGCCTCCGATCACTCCCATCACTTGGAAGGGACAACCCAGCCCAGGGACAGAACGTCTGGTCCTGGGAAGCTTCCAGCTGCTGGAGTGCGAGTGGGACTCAGAGCTCCTGGAACCACCAGGAGGATAATGCCAACACCCAAGGATGAGGAATTTGAACCGATAACTTCCGGATGACATCCCCCACGGTACACCACTGGCCAACCAGCTCCCCTCCTTACCTCGCTCCATTGAACTGGAGTAAATACTACCACCATCGCCATTTTGAGTTACCCACGTGACCTCATGAATAGAAAAATT